CAACAATGCCCCTGCTCTGCCCACCTCTTGGGCTTCCTCCTGTTCTTCCCCCCCCAATCTTAGCTATCCAGACACAGCACAGTGTCCCAGCTGAGCACACCTACCCCAACCGCAAAACCTTCTCCATGCTGTTGTCAAAATTTTCCTTCTTTAAACCCCCCCTAAGGGCGAAGTTGTTGTTCCTCATCTCTTCTGCGCGCCACGTGTTGTTTTCCAACCGTCTGCCCTTAGAGAGATGCAGGGCTTCTCCTGAGTGCTCCTGGTTAATTTAGAAGCAAGCAATATGTGTAAGTCATTGTAATTACTCCTTCCAGCCAGCAACGACTTTGATTTGTTGTCTCCTCCACCTTTTAAGCCCTGTCACAGGCTTTTTTTTGCAGCTCTTGCAAGGATCAGCTTACCAAAAATAAATGGTCCCTTCTTGCTCCCCAGATGAGTGAGAAGCAGCCGACGCTTCCTGCAGAGAGCCAGGGCAGGATGGAAATCAAATATTTATTCCTGCTCTTGATTTTCTGTCTCCCAACCAATTTCTAATCTCTCCGTAATGTCTTAGGTTCCTGAAGAGCCTTATACAGAGGCATTTGCTGTAAGCTTTTAAAATGTCTGGACAATTTATTTCAAGTTTTCCTGCGGCACACCCACACACCCCCCACACCCCCCCCACTCCTCTGTGATCCTCTGCAGGGAGAGGAGGTCGCCTTGCAGAAGCTGTGCCACTGGGTTCCCCCCTTTCTCCCATCCCAGAAGTGACAGATCCCAGGGACGCGGCGGGGGTTGGGATCGCACCAGAATCATCTGGCAGGGAGATGGAGGGCAGCACCGGGGTCCCTGCCCAAGCACCTCCTGGTGTCCCCTTTGTTTCTGCTTTTCTGAGGGGGATTTACACAGATTTTGGCACGGGCTGGGTTTCCAGGCTCCAGAGGGGATGGGTTTTATGCCAATAGTCTACACCAATGGCCACACTGTTTCCATCCATCCTCCCGCATGTCTTCTGCCTTGGCCGGCAGCCCCAAAAGCCCCCTTGCAGGGCTCCTGCAGTTTTAATAGGAGGGTCTTCTAGACCAGCCCCTTCCTCCCCATTTCACCTCCTCCTAAGTTTGTGACCCCCCCAAGAGATGATTTTTGACATTTCCTCCTCTAAAAAAGTGCTTCCTTCCTAATTATGCTGCTATTTGGGCAAATGAGCAGAGGTCGCCTGTTGAACCCCCTCCTATTAGCCTCCAGCTCAGCAAAGCCCTTGAGCATATGCTCCAGCTGAAGTACGTACTCAGAGTTATAGTTTGTTCAAAAAAACACCCACTCAGCTTTGAGCAGATGTGCTGAAGGGCTGGAGGTGAGAGCCCCAGACTTTGTTTTATGGCATTAAATACCCTCCAGAAGGAGAAGTGGGAGCTGGGGGCATGGTTCTGGCTCAGCAAGGAGACCCCACTAGCACACCAGCAATGGTAGGGCCCTCGGGAAGACTGAGTCCTGTGGCTTTATGCTCTGTTTTCCCCAAATATTGGTGAGGCTGTGCCTTTCCTAGGAGGGGCAGGACCCACTGAGGGGCAAAAGTATTGTGCAGACCTGGCCACGAGTTGCTCTATAATAGGTGGCTCCAAGAGCCATGCCGAGGGTGAAACAGCTTGTGGCTAGCTAGGTCAGGAACTCATTACTAGTACTTAGCTAGATTTATACCCGACATGAGCTCCTCACCATCATGGTCTGACCTGAAGGCTGTGATTTCCCACTGGTTTCTGCTTCCCCATTGTCAGGATGGGGGCTCCTCC